TTACACTGCTTAATGACTGATTGTCTTACTTACTGTATAAATGGATTTTAATTAAAAATTCATTTGCTGAAATTTAAAAAAGTTGAAAAAAAATATTGAACAAAATTCGGCTTTTTGATGTTATGAATGCCTTCGAGCGTTCATATTAAGGTCCGTTCATAATTGTGTCCGTTCATGTAATGTCCGTCCAAATAAGGTCCGATTAAGGTATTAAAACTTGACAAAACTTGTGCGCAAAGCAGCTAATTAAATCTTGCGCAACCAATTTTACCTAAAAGTTCGGTAACAAATTTTTGAACCTTTAAGTGTGAATAATTCTGGTAATTCGTACTAATTGAGAAATAAATATTCAATAAGACAAATTTTTTGAACTTGCCTACCAAAAAAGGATAAGATTAAAACTTTAAAATTATAATCTTTTCTATTATCATATAACGTCACTCTAACTTTCCTTATAATTACTAATTTTAAGTCTAGCTAGACATTACAAGCGAAATATTTGTATTATTTTCTATCATTTCCTTAGGCTGAAATATCTTCTAATACATTCGTAAATAAATTAAAATCATAAAACTATCAACTCATTTGATAACGAAATGTGTTCTTTTAATCTTTTTAGATTTTTCTGTTATCCCTTGTTCTATCAAAAGTTTATATATTTCTATTCGTAAACATGTAAATAAAATTGAGCTATTTGTTTGTGCTGCATGGTACCATTGGTATTCCAATACTTGTCTATAAATTGACCTGATAAGTACATAAGAATTATCAATCACATAATTAAGACATTCCAAAAGTGTTATATCTTTGAAAAATGAACTTATATTTTTACTACATTATCAGAGAAATAGGCTTCTTAAGTATAAGATTCGGAAATAATATAGATTTTCTTTAAAATCAAATACTCTTTCTACAAATACATACGAAGATTATCTTCAATTGAATATTGAGGTATTGATGTATATAAAGATGAAAAAAATAAGTACTGGACAGGACTTTAAACTTTCTGGGTTATTATCATAACTAAGAAATCTAAGATAGGCTATTATTTATCAATAACAAAATAATCATTTTCTAACGTGAATTTATTATCATATATAGATTTATTTTTTAGCTGAGTGAAGCATAGATTAATACAAATGCTAAGATAGACTGATAATTGTTGCTAAATACTTCCACTACAGACGTTATATATCTAACTCCGACTGGCTTTTTATGTGTTTTGGTGAATCATATAAATAAGTGTAATTTGCTAGTATCTTCATCAAATTTAATTCGATGTATAAGTAAGAATGCTTTATGCTCATTAATTATTATCATCTTCTGAAACGATTAACTTTAGTAAATGTATTCGATGATAATTCCTTTTCAAATCATACTAATATAGAACTTTTTCAAACAATAGTAATATCATTTTTGGCTTTATCGGAGGAACCCAATAAAAATCTTTATGTAGGCTCATCTAAATCTGCTAAGACTTCACATCTGATAATATGAATAATAGGGATATGGTTTAGCTCCTTGCAGTTAATTTTCACTTGCTCGATTATGATTAGTGTTTTCCACTCTTGAAAACTCTTGCTATAGGTTTAGCCATAAATTAGGACAATTTATCGCAATAGCTTTTGAGTGCCGTCTTTACTGATTTAAAGCTTTCAGTACATTGTTTAGATTAGTCTCTATAATTTAATCCCTTCATTAGGAGGATTACGAAGTTTATATTACTGATCATTGTAGCTCTCCTGTAAGACATGTTTATGAGTGGGTCTGATTTATAACGACTTGATGACAATTACATTCACTGTTCTGAGTCCAATGTTAGCTTCATTATATACTTTTTTGTAGTTAAGTACTTTAGATCTGATTGTTGGAGGGGTATTTCGTAGGACATTGTAGGTTGCTGATGTACTTTGACTTGAATGGTGCAGCTTTTAGTAAACTGTTCCATTTTAAATTATCTTTCGAAAAATCCAATATACTCGGACAAATTTATTACATAATTAATACAATAAAAAGAATTTGATTTTACTATTATTCTTACCGCTAAACATCTTGTAAGGTAAAACCTGATAAATCTTTAACTAAGTGAATTTTATGAAATCTATAAGTCGTTTATTACTATTAAAATTATTAATATAAGATATAGCTTTAATATAACTAATTAAGTAGTTTCTTTTTAAGGATTACTAGATTAGTACGAATATCATCGCATATCAATCGTTTTTCATCATCCAGCAAATCTTCATAAAATACTCGATATTCAAATTCTTGTCTTTCACTTACAATATTATAATGAATCTACCTCACGTGATGTTATTTATTTTTAAACTATATCGAACTGACTATAAATCGTGTTTTAGAGTTCATCACCATATTGCAGGCCATTAGTAGTTCTTCTTTTTTACACGAATTTGAGCCATATGGAAAACTGTATTAACTGCAAACATACAAGCTTCTTCATGTCTTCTCTTTCTTTCAATGTGTATTATTAGGTAAAGAGTTATGTAATCGGCATGATAGCCATGTTTTCAGTGCTATGATTTACTTGAAAGTGATCACGAAGTATTTTGCAGCCTCCACCACCGTTTTATAGTTAGATTTATGTTGGCTTATTCTGAAGCATTGAATTGTCGTGGCCAAAGTATTGATATTTACAATTTTATGCAAGCATTTTATCAAGTAGATGCACTTTTCGTTTGACACATGATCAATTAAAGGTCAATGAGGGAAAGTAGGAGTTTGTAGTGCTATTAGGTGGTAGAAGTTGTCAAAGAAAGGCAGTTTAAGCAGTAACGCATGATTTTCTATCACATGTACTATGTTAAAGGGTTTCAAGAGATTCTGGTCATTTATACTCTGAATGATCATCAAAAGATTGTTCCGACAGTATGTTGTTTACTGTCTCGTTCTGCCTAAATTGAAATCAATCTTCCAATCATCTACAAAACAGTTGGCGGTGGTTACAAACCTACAATTGAATGTGGGGAGTTACTCAGTACATTGCCTCACGTTGTAGACCCACCGCGAACGGTGCCCTGTTTGTAGTTTAATTAACCTACACTTACCAGGACGCGCGCCGAGTTGGGACTCGTCGACGGTTAATATATGGAACAGATATTTACGAGTATCACCCGTTAAGTGCCTGTCACGTGACCAACTACGGTTTTTTGCCCATAACTATCGGTCCAGGGAAAGCATTTTTACCCCACGTATGGAATCCTTTAGTCTTGGGGATTCGGAATTAGCGTCACGTCCAAACAATACAACGATTTAGATCAATTTCGTACCCAAATCAAAGGCAAAGGGCCTTTTCACAGTCACAAGAATTTCTTAATAAAATTTTGGCGAGCGACTCTTGTTATTAGTAAATAATTACTATTACTGCTGAAACATTTTAATATTGTCGGAAGCTAGGATGTGGGCGCTGCGATGCACATTATTATGCTTATAATGCACATTATGCTACGAGATCGTAGCATGCAGAGCTACGAGCTGCAAATAGTTTGTTTACTTGTGGTTTATATCTTATCAGCAAAACAGGACGGCGCGCCGAGTTGGATCGTCGATGGAACAGATAATTTTACGAGTATCACCCGTGTTAAGGAAATGTTGGCATCGTACGCGTATTTCAATATAAATCCAATTAATATAGGCTATTCACTATCACTCAATCAGAATCACAGACAAATTGACAGTCGTACATTTTTCGGATTTGAAAATTGATTGTAAAACTTGCAACTTCATATTAAATAGGAATATACAAATAAATCTACAATTAATGTGCCTACTTTAATTTTAAAGTTTATATGATAAGTACCTTACATGTAATTAGGTACATAGTATTAGACAAGCTTCAGACTGACCTCTCCACAAACCTCTTGACAACATGATAACGCCGGACCTTGTTTGGTTTATTACCCCCTTGATTTCCACCTTCAAACCAATAATAATGTTCATTTGGACCTCAAAACGTGGTCCAAAATTGAAAGTTGAATATTTTATTCCCTTCATAGACGGCGTTATAATGATTTAGAAGAGGTCGACTGTCATCGTGCTACACCTATACGCTTAGGTACCTTAACATATTAAGTGCCATAAATTTTGGCAAAATACTCAGCGACCAAAAATCTGAGTTTTTGCACTACACACTCGATAGAACTTGTAGTTCATCAATGTAAGATATCTATGTTCAAGTTCTTTTTCCTAGTGAAGATGTAAATAGAATTATCCTTTACAAATCTAAGCAAACTAACACACTTAATCATACACAAAATGCAATACATAACACGGAAAAAAACCACACTCATCAATAGACTCGGCCAATGGCATGACTGCATAAAATTTACCTGTTTAGATCTTACAGCACCTGCCCTGTTCTGCCTACCAGTTCATTCCAGTGTCAAATAATAAACATACTATTGGGTCACAAATACTTTATAAGGAACAACTTTATGAACAACTCCTCTACGAGGCAGTCAAATCCCAGCTAAGTCAAAATTAGTTTGAAATTGATAGTGAAAATGCTACAAATTGTTCGATGGTGCTCTCAGTGTCGATCGATTTTGTTCCGTAACATACAATAAATTATCATTAAGGAGGACAGGAACTTTAAGGCATCTGAGGAAAATTAAAACGATGTTAACTGAAACTATCTACATAAAAAAAGCAAGTATTTTCGATATCATTCATCACTAATTTCAGAACAAATGCTGCACATCAAACAATGTCAATAGTTATCGCTTGCTAGCATCGTAATTTAGTTAATATTTCTACACCTAATGATCAAGCACATTAAGATGCAACATGAACAAACAAGCTGCATTCATTATTCATATACTTGGTCTATTCTAATTCGTTAAACTTGACTTTGTCACTTTGTCAGCATGAACATCGAACATTCCAATTCTACATTACATTAATAAATCGATAGTGTCATGGTCAAATATTCCATTGTAAAAACTGGTTGTCGACTTCTGCAACTCTCCAAAAACTCGTTGAATTTAATTTCCCCGTCCTTGTTGATGTCCTGTGTCCACTAGGTTGTCCAGGTCATCAGGGGAGAGGGGATGAGCCGTAAGTTTGGCCAGGAGTTCCACACTGCTTCTTAACTCTTCACGTGATAACAGCCCTGAAATCATAAGGGGTTCCGTGAGAAACTTGAGATTATCTCACGAGTGCTCGCTCAGTTTGTATTAGTGAAGTTTATTAAGCCTGCGTTCGCGTTCTTAGTTTAGTTAGTACGCTTGTTAGTTAATGCTTCATTTAAAAAAGAAATATTGCATGTAGGTGAGTGGGCACAGTTAAAAATTCGCATAGAGATGAAAAAATGTATAGTCTCATTGCGCCAAGCTAGTAATCGGAAATTTTGTGGGAAACAAAAATGTTCACTGCATCAATTTTATATCAATTTGTATTTCACGTTCAGACTTTATTAAATTCGCTCGATTGAACCTGAGTTGTCGGTATTCAGGAGCGCTGAATATTGTTTCCAGAATGTTTCTTTGTCGAAATATCGTTCAGTTATTGCTTATTAGCGATACTCCCCTCCAATCGTACCGTCCGTGACAACAGCTATTCGTATTTTATCTTCCTGAAAAATTGACAAAAAATTTGCAATCAGGCCCACTTTAGGATGTTAGCAACATAATTGGTAACAACCGGAACAGTTTGAACAAAAACATGTTCTTGTAGTATCGAAACTAAAAAAACCAACAATTTTCACCCACCCTCATCATCCACTTCGACAAGTTTTGACGGAGAGTCCTCACGGTAGGTCGAGGTTTAGAACACTACTCTTGACTCTTCCACTCCATCTTGTTATGAGACCTGGACAAAACTTGTTCAGTGAGATTTAATACGAGCATTTCTCGTAACCGGCCAATGTCAACCAATCAAATAGCCCAGATTTCTGTCAGCGACGAATAATTCAACTCATACGACAATTACAAGCTAACTATAGGTTAATACAGCTTCTTATAAGCTGGGCTCGTGCCTACTGTTTTCTCCGTATCGTGACTTTCGAAAACTCGTCCTGTAGTCGCCTTTATCCCGAAAATATTTGAGTTCTCAGATCTCGCAAAGCAGAACTCTCAACCATCCTCTTAACCCTGAAAAAATTGCATGGGTAAAAATCATTTCAGTCGGAAAACAGGGTGCTGATGATAAACACGATAAACATAAGACATGTTTTCGGATTGATTGAGGCGAAATATAGAGACATAAACAGTATATCATATTAGAATATTGTATAAAGGCAAAACCTTGATTATAGTGGCAACTGTTTGGTGTTTTCAGTAGCCGAAAATTGGATGAACTGAGGCTTGTGACTTTGGTTCCCAGTTTTATGTAGGCTCCCAAATTACTCCGGCTTCGTAGTAGTAATTACTTGCACTGATTATTGTCTACTACCTGTAGAGAAGATACGTTCACTAATCGAACATAGCTGTTTTTAATCGCTTAACATAACTTGCATGGTATTAAGTAATTAACACCAGTTAATGAAGAGCCTCGAATCCGGCATAATCTTGATTATCAATCTTCGATTTTTAGATGAAGATCAGTAGATTTTCGATTGATATTTCAATTAAAAATTAAGATTTAAACTCTCTTATTCCCACCAAATAAATTTCTACATAAAGACCGTCGTGGGTCGCGTCATAAACCATCAGGCTTACACTCGTGTGACCGAATCAGCAGTTTGAAGTTGTGTTTCATCCGAATGTCTTTTGAAAAATGTCCGGTCCGAAGTATGTGCCGCCTCCACGAAAGTGTTGGGTCAATCCAACTGCAGCTTTAGGGTCACTCCACAAAAGGTCTAACATCTGAGGCAGAAGGAAATAAGTTGGGTATGGAATAAACGTATAGCATCAACCACGGCCATGGTTACAGTTCAGATGGAGCAGCTACAATAGGATCGACCTCTTGTAAAGACTAGTTGACCTTCAAAAAGTAGTGTCGACGAACCAGTTTAACGGGTGACCTAAGTCTAAGGTTCTATCAAGTTGACATCTATACACTCTCGCTTCTGCCACCTGAGCTACATGGGGGGATTGGAACCACATGTATTTTCAATTATTCCGTAGTAATAGCACGAACACAGAAAATGGTGATATGATTCTATCATTCAGATTTTCGGAAAATCGGTAACACATTCGACACGGAACAGATTGTTCGACAAGCACTCAGTTCGATAAACTCTAAATAGTCGGGATTCCCAACCGTTCTAAAAGTCTATCTCGTAGCTTTCGTGTTAAGCGATTCTAAACGGTTATCACCTCTCTAGATGATTCTTAAAACATTTGGACTTCATTGCATTTTTGAAATAATGCAATGAGGGCGTTTTCGGCCCACCACCCTTTTTCAGGGTTTCGCGGTCACTCGAATTTTTGTATTTCAGCCAGGAAGTGTCTTTAAGACTATTCCCGTTCATACACCAAAATGTGGCCTAATAGCCACATTTATATACAACTTATTAAGCAACAATATGTTGCGTAATAAGTTGTAATAAATGTGGCTATTAGGCACATTTACCTTAAAATGACTTTCTATTTTCGGAAATATGGCCGAAAACGGTTTTTTTTTGGCTCGACACAGTTCCATCATTTCCGTGATTTTGGCATTTCCGCCTAGGAATGTCGTAGAGACTATTCTGATACACTCAAAGGTACATAATGGCCACACTTCTATACAATTATGGAAGCAACATATACCCTAAAAAGGCTTATTTTCGGAAATTGTGGTGAAAAACGGATTTTTTGCGGAGCGAACAATGACAATATTCACAAAGGACAATTCGGCTATTGGACTGTTAACCTAGAAAGGTCTCAAAGCTCCATGAAGCAGAACACAGCATTTGGTCACAAGATGTAAGATGACTCACTTTGTATCAGGAAAAAAAAAACACTACAAAAATTGGAGAATGAGCTACTTTATTGGGGCATCTCTCTTAATGGGCCAGCCAGCAGCATATTGTGTCTTACGAAATGGCAATTTTTCAAAATTACGGTTTTCTTAGTAAAGTCAATGGGTCAGTTGCTAACAGCAAATTGTTTGCAATGCCGATCATGCACATTCATATACTCAAAAACGCTCGCTTTAGGAGTTCATTAGTACATAAGTTTAACTATTACTGCTTAGGCGATTTGTGAAAAACTCCAACATTTTTCATTGGTACACCATTTAGCCAAATGTAAGACCAAAATTCAACTTTTTATTTATTCATGCATGAAACCATGATATATCTGTCCCAAGAATTCCGGACCTAAAAATAAATCGGGCAAGGATCCGGGCAGATTGTTCGCTTGAACACTGACCGTACCACTTTATAATATATTGCTTCACTCTCTCGACCAATATTGGTCTGTAATCCTGGATTGAGGCTCTTGGATGCAGTTTTTAACCGCCCTCATTGTATTTATTTCAAAATGCAATGAAAGTCCAAATGTTTTAAGAATCATATAGAGAGGTGATAACCGTTGAGAAATCGATTTTAACACGAAAAGCTAACGAGATTCCGTTTGTCTCAGACTAAAGTTAGCCTCTGTCGAACTTTAGTTGTGCTATTGGACTGTAGTTCGGACCAGTCGATTCGATGAGTTCGAAAGAGCGCTCAGAAATTGTTGTTGTAATACGCGGTAATTTAAAATCCGAGTTAGTGCATGTAAAAGATAGTGAAAGTCAGCCGAAATCAAATTTAATCCTACAATGCGCGCAGCGTGTAGGTCGATCGTCTATAGTCTGTCACGTAATGTTTTAAAAAGTCATCGCATCAGCAGAATCTCGATGCGCGTCGCTACGTTTACTTTGACAAAATGTCAAAATGAGACAATGCCAGTATGATAATTCCGACGATCTGATGTGTATCATGAATTTCAGATTAAGATTACATCTACAGGGGAATCTGGATGGAGCCCGGTCCTTTGCTTTATCATTACTGGTGCGGTAACTTTCTCTTTGTTGCTTACGAAAGCAGCCCATATTACATATCTACCTTCTGCCTTTCACCTTCGTCCTTTATTATTTGTGGGCTCAGGGCTGTTCTTTTAGGTCTTTGATTAAGATATACTACGTTACACCTTTCTGTGGGACATTATTATGATGGGTGTGTGTGTGTGTGGGTGTGTGTGTGTGTGTGATTGAATCTGATAAATTAAAAACAAGCAGATACTTGCAACTCAATTTGAGGAAGGCCACACAGGTCCACATTGTATTAAGTTTATCTAACTTTACAAGCCATTTTCCGAAGCCACCATAATTATACATTATGTCTCATAATTAATGCTTTAATGTATCATATATAATACATTATGTATCATAATTAATTCATTGTGTATCATAATTAATGAAAATCCTGTCTCATTCAATAAGATCGATCTCGTCTTCACTTCATCATTAATTTTAGTTGGAGGACGTAAATTGAGGCATTACTGAAAAGGAGCAATAGTTACTTTCGACTTTATTACATTGCACAGAAATTAAATTTCATAGTTCATTATTTTCAGTGTTCCTCAGCATTTTGAGTTATTTAATTTGTTCCTTTGGCTTTATCTGACAATTGTCAGCGTTACTTAACATATTAAAAGTGTATTTGATAATATTAGAAAATAAGAATTTGTCGAATGTTGCCACCAGTAACAAACCCTGACAGGGTCATAATATGGTGGGTGTCTATTAGGTTACTCTGAAACTCAATCCTAGATTATTAAGGTGGTGAGTGTTCTATGTTAATTGTGAGGATGTAATTAAATGTTAAGATTAATAATATGGTAAGAATTCATGGTATGTGATCTTGTTCTAAGGTGAAAGCAACGTCATTTTGCAATCAATTTAATAAGTGAATACTGAATAGATGATAAGTTATGTATATTAGAGCACCCCACTCAAACCACTCCATATGGTCTTCGACTCTGTTTGAGATTTTATAGTCGATAATTGTAATTTGACTTATGATTAATAATTCTTGTATAACCTCCTCTATCTAGTAATCAGCTCTATCCACTACTTGAGACACTCAATTCCACAACCAAGCTGCACTTTTAAGTGATTCCAATGTTGTTTCACTTATTCTAGGTGTGGTTTCACCAACTTATAAAATCGCAACTTTATAGTGGAAACACTATTGGCTTGAGC